GTCGCAACTGCAAAGACACACTGTCTGCAAATCCAGGAGCTGCAGTCAGCTTCAAGTTCAATAGTTGGGACGTGACACTGAGGGTGGAACCCTGTGAAGCACCAGAGAAAGACGGGAAACATTGTCATTCAAAAACAACATGCTGCTTGGTAGTAAGGTTCTATGGCAGGGGTGGGGAACCTGTTCCATGGAGGGCCAGTGTGGGTGCAGGTTTTTGGGATGGCCTCTCAATCAGCCAATAATAAAGCAGTGGTTCTCAACGCCAGTCCTGGGGACCCAATGTTATTGGCTGATTGAGAAGCCATCCCAAAAACCCGCACCCACACTGGCCCTCCATGGATCAGGTTCCCCACCCCTGTTCTATGATATGAAAAAGGTCTTTGGTGCCAAACCTCACAAGTATTTAGATTTTTCAGCTCATTATTCAAAGCAGTGCATTACTTGATATTCCAAAAAAGTGACTTCATTTCAGTAGGTAACATGCACAAGAACTACATCTCACCAAAATTAAGATTTCTGTAACTATCTGGACCTGTAAGGTTCTATAGCACCAATCTGCATGGTAAGAAAAATGTGTTTGTGCATTTTTCTCTCACAATATTTAAGCAGGTTTCAGCCACTGTCAAATAAACAAAATAATTCCCAGCAGCTATAACTACAACAGTGATAAATGCAGAGACTATTAAGGGAGTTAGCTAATTACATACTATCTCTGCATTAACGTAATCAAATTCACACTATTTACTGCAGCAAGTTCAGTTTATCTAGTACTGTAATTAATTATGTAATTGGCATAGAGTAATAATGTTAGAATTATGCCACATGTTGATTCCCAGCACCAGGCAGCAGAAACACACCTGAGAACCTTTTCAAACCCTCGGCAGTACCACTTAAATTACATTATGCATGTTATAGGATGTGAGGTATTTTGTTACCATGGCGACACTTGTGACAGTTTACAAGGGGCTCTTTGAGAGGTGGAGCATCACAGACACAGCAAACTCCCTCAATTCCAGCAGAAACTGAGCAACAAACGACAGACAGAGAGACAGGGTGAGGAAAGAGAGAGATGGGGGGCAGGGAGAAAGAGAAGAACAGTGAGGAATACTCCGAAACACGCCTTCCCTCGGGCTGATTCACCTCCCAAGCATGCCTTCGAATTCCACTACCTTTGACCTTTTTAGTATTTAGCCTTACATAATTTCCATTAAATAGTCATTTCTGAACCTGCCTGCATTAAATGAGGGGGCGCTCTTATACACATAATTACAGTTCCAGCATTGACTCTGGGCAAACATTACCTGGTTGCTTACTTTTTCGTATAATTTGTAGGCCAGAAAATATTAAGTGTTGTTAAATACTCACTTGATTGCTTGTTGCCTGTATGAACTGATACATACAACATATATCAGTATGAACCAAAATTATGCGGCAATATTTTACAGTTATTTCAATTCATTTAGTTTTAGACCTGACCTCAAGGTTTGCTTCTTTTATAATAGCTAGAAAATCTTTACAGAGAACATTAGGTTGATGCCTGTATCTTAATCGTCCCCCATATTTCAATTTACACCAATGTGAATTAAATCAAGCAATGCATCAATCAGTGCCTTACAAGAATGAATATCTTTTCTCAGCACCCAGAATTCAGAATTATCTTCAAATCGAACCAAGCAACACTGTTTGACCCCATCTACCTGGAAAACAGAAAGAGACCAAGGTGAAGAATGGGTACAGCCAGAGGGACACGGAAACAGGACGGGGACGTGGCCACAGAAAGAGACTCACTCTTTTCACATTGCCCAGGTACAGCAGTCCATCGCTCCACCGAGCCAACACATCATCTCCCTCGCTCAATCCTCCCATCCTAAAAAAATACAGAGGTCCAAAGATAAGTGAAGAGACACAGTTACCAACGTGAGGGCTCAAAACAGGATCTAAGAAGTACTTCAGGGGGACAGGATCACACACACACACAGATCGATAAGGGACTTTCTGACGACAGACCAAAGGGGTGACAGACCCAGAATATTAATCCGCATCTGACTGAGAGACAAGGGGCAAAGGGTTAAGTCATGCTGTCGGGCTATCCATGGATACGAAGAAGACGCTACATATGTGTCCATTTACCTGACGGGAGATATTAGCTCATTATTGTATGGTCAAGTTTGCAATATAGTTTACTTTATTTGAAACATGTTGCTGAGAGACTGCATGAGGAACATCTGCAGGAACGTTCCGTGATATAAAACTAATTAAAAACTAATTGGATCAATTGCAAAGCTCGTGGCAGAGCTGATTAGAAATCTCGGTAAACTATGCCACAAACCACAAACTGAAAAGATTACAGATTAATTAACAAATTGATAAATCTCAGCAAAAAAAAATACCCTTGCATTTTCAAAAAGCGGTACCTGAAAAGTCGAACTCCTCTCAGTCTCGTGAAATAGAAGCAAAGTAACGGTATAAGATTAACATCCAGATGTATTTTTCCACTGTTTTCGGTCTCGGTCACTGTATGGCAGCGCCTGTGCCGAGCAGCGCGTCAATCAGCCCGTCAGCGCCGCTGCGTCTGTCCGTCAGTCGCCCCTTCTGTCTGCCTTGCAGGGCGTCGTTCCGTCATGCTCCCGTCTGTTTCCCCCCCACTCCAATTCTCGCTCCTCCGGACCGTAAAACGAGCGTGTTTGCCTTAGAGTCAAGCCGAGAGAGACGCCATCATCCTCGCCTCTGGCTGCCGACCGAGTGACTTGTTGTGACGCAGACATAAAACACAGAGAGATAGAGAGGGAGACAGGGGGACGGGGGACGGGAAAGTGGGCGAGGTGTTCCTCACATCCTTCTTACTGATCTCGGTCTACAGTAAGAAGGATGGTAGAAAAAAATACGTGCTATTGTCTGCTACTCCGTAGAATCTACGCCTTTGGTTAAAATCTAATAATTGGGAGTATAAATATGCCGAATTACGGAAGATTTCAAGTGGAAATTTAAAAGAAAGTATGACAACAAGAACACCATCGTGGGACAGACACTTTAATCGGGTGTTCAAGCTGCCAAGATGCACAAATTACGGATTCTGTGAGAAATATGCAGTTTTGAAACTGAGTAGTAGACCCGGTGTATTATTTTTGAAATTAATGTTGTTATCAAATCTATACCCAGTTACTTCAAATCAGCAAACCTGGCCCTAAACGAATATGAACAAGATGTCTCAAGTGGTAAAACAATTGTTAAACATACTATTGTTAAAAACGAGATGTGCTCTAATTTAATTTATCGGACTCTAAGTGAAGCATAAATGCCCTCACTTCCGAATATCAGCCTATACCTCATCACCTAGTTTCCACGTAGGCGCGTATTCTAACCCTTAAGTGTTTTTTTTTAATGCTTTGCATGCTTCCTTCCATTGAAGGCAAGCAATAAGACCTCAAAGGTCTACTCCCATTTCTACGAGCTCATTTTACCCGCGCTCCAATAGTATGGCCCAACGAGAGGCTTCACCTGCACCACTGCTGCCCTCCATTCTGCTATTATTGCAAGAGCAATACGACTAGCTGTCTGTGTTTCAGATTCAGCTTCCAGCCCAAAAATCTACATACAGCTTTGTTGCAGACAGCATGTCTTGCAACTGATCTAGGAAGCTCAATAAGAATGGACAGAATGTATAGTGTTAACCCATCCATCCATCCATCCCTCCATCCATCCATTCATCCATCCATCCATCTGTAAAATGCTTGTCTTGGACATGGTTGGGGCAGGAAGGGGTACACCGCGGATGGCATGATGTAGTATAGTGATTAGAATATTGAACTTGTAATCTCCAGTTGAGCCGGAGGTGTTTCAGTGGTACCCTTGAGCAAAGAATGGAACTGTTTCTGTAAAATATAAATCTGCAAAAATACATCACCTAAGCAATTTAGTGCAATGAAGGTAACTTACCAGTGAAGTGTTGAAATAAGCAGAGACACGAGAGATCTTCTGTGACCATGTATGGGATGGAGGACCCGATGGCGCTGCATTTGTAATGTACTGGCAGGTAGTATTATTATTACTATTAACGACAAAATTAAAATCAATTGTGACAGTAAATTAATTACAAATGACTTTAATAAGTACGGTACATTTTACAAAAGTAAACTGCAGCACAAGTACAATTAGCCTACATTAAAATTCAAAAGAGACATTTTTAAATGTTGAAAGACATGAAATGAAATAGTACGAGAGTAGCTCATGTATATTCAGGAATGTTAAAGAAATAAAGTAATACAAAGAAAAGTAACTGAAAGTGCTAAAATAAATACGGCCACGAGAAGATGCGTTTTGAGGTGATCCTTGAAAACGGTTTATCTTACCTTTACGTTTGGATTATGCAAGCCGGACCTTATTACAAATAAAAACTATTTCTGAAAAGTTCAATTACAACGCATAGTTACAGGCTATGCACATCACATGCATTGATTATGCTTAATTCTGATGAAAACTTATGAATAATTGTGTGCTTGTCCTGCATCCCCATGATTTCTCCGGTTACGTTAAAAATGGATGGAAGGAAAATATGAAGTAGTATATGTTATGTACAATGAGGATTTAAGGGGCATTCGAAATAAAAAGGTGAAATTAAGAATATTTAATGAAGGAATGAGAGTGTATTGTTTCCGCACTGCATATGCTTAGCAAAACGCTTCTAAAATGTCTGTCAGGCTGCTCAACTGTTCGGCGCTGTAGAGAAATATAATAAGCATGTTCTCTGTATATGACCACTAGATGTCACTCTTATATTCACCATACAAGGAACCTTGGAAATCGTTAAGCTATACTTAATCGTTGCCTCAAGACACAGATTTCACAGTGCGACAAAGATCAGATATTGGCATTATTTCGTTTGTTCATGCTGTTTTTTCCAGTCATATTGGCTTTAGCTGTCCTGCAACTTTCTTGCAAATATAGACTACAGATGCTCAGTAAAAAAAATCCAGATTGAGGAAATGATCAGATGTTAGCAATTCTGGGAAATAAAAAGGTTTATTGCATTTCCAAAAAAAAGAAAAGAAAAAACACATCACAGATCAGTATATACACATCTGCACAGCATATATTAAATATACTTAATTTTTATATCTTACAAATGCCAACTATTACTACAACTACAACAATGTAAATTTAGATCAACATAAAAGTCTATATGTAAACCTTCTTATAAAACCTACAGTTGACATAAGACTCAACCTTAAAGTGGAATCAAAGCCATTGGTAGTTGCATGAAAACACTTGTATAGTGTTCTAATAGACGGTCAGTTCACACAGGCAAATTCTGAAGAAATTCAGAAATTCCAAGCGAAGCCAAGTTCCCAGGTGTGTTCAGACGCAGTACAAGGAATGGTGGTTACCTGAGCACAAGTACTGTCACAAAAAACATCCGTGTCCCCGCAGAAGGGACAATGACGCAACCCAGCAGAGTTCTGTTACTGCTTCTAGAGACATTTATATTAGAAAGTCATGGCCAAACCTGTTGTTTTAATAAAGTTCACTTTAACAGGAATAGAATATTATTATACATGTAACATTTTAAACTGTTTAATGTTTGTACAAAGTAAAGAAATGCAAGTATAACAGAGTGCCATAAGAAATTGGAATATCCTGCTAAAATATGAAAAAAAATATTTGTATATTTTACACGTCATAATAAAAAAGTTGCCCATGCTAAATATGAGGAGATGTGGTACCTTAATTCACAAAAGAGATAGATTATATATTCATTTGTGATATAGCAGAGCTCATTCAATTTAAAAAGATACAAATTTTCATAAAGTTCCAAAAAGGAGAATTTACTAAAGGAACTTAAAAAAAAAAACACTCAATGAAACCTTACACAATTACACAGTATGGTCTACTGTATATATACACATTGTTAAATAGTATAATTCTCAAAGCAAATTAGGCATTTTTACTTGACAAGTGTTCTGTGACTACAAATATCATTTGAATATTGTATCAGCAATTGCACCTAGCAACACACACAACCACGCACTTAAAAAACCAAGTAAAAAATGCAATTTGTCAGTGCTTGGCTTGAAAAAGAATAATCTGACAGCGATTATCAAACGGCATTATGCGTGCAAAAAGCTTAACGTTTGATGACTTTTGAGAGGTTTGCTTCCATATTCCAAATTACTTCTGACGTCTTAACAGCATCATACACAGATATCTGATGACAGACCAATTGTTCAAACTGCCACTTGTTTTACATGGAGTGTTTCTGACTTCATCACCTGATACAACGTGTATCTGCAAATTCACATCTAAACACTGGGATCTTATCAACAGCAATACATTTTGTAGTAAGAATAAATGTACAATCAGATACCAGGTATAAAAAATGGATACTTTTTTTTTTTGGTTTTTCACATCTTTGGTAACTAGCAAATATTTCTTACATGACTCCACAATTTAAAACAAAATCCAAATCATAAGCAAAGCAACCAATTAAATCACAATAAAACCTTGGAAAATGTTATCAAATTTTATTAGTTAAATGTAAACCGTCAGTGAGCTGCTGTTTGATAGACTCTCCAGTGACTTTATAGTATTAATGCCCTCAACACCAGAAATGTCTGTGTGTTCAAAGCCACAGAAACAAACAAACAAAAAAATCTACTCTATCAGGAAGCCGAAGAGGCACAGGGCAATGACACCAGTCCAGTGATACAGGGAAAAATCACTCAATGGGTACAACCACACAAATAACACCATAAAATGTGCAGTATTCCTGGCCCTTGCCCAAAAATCCCAGTATGAATGTACTGGGCAAAAACCTAATCAAGTCAGAACATGTTTGAATATGTCAAGCCATGTCTCAAGCCATATTTACACCCTTCACTTCTGGCTTCATAGAAAAATGGCTTCACAATAAAATGATATAACATTCCAGCATAAAATAACGTTAAATCAAACATACACATAAACCGTGGTTTCGCAATTATTCAACAAATTCAATTAATACAAAGAACCCATGCACAATAAGGTAAAAACAGACTGACAGTTCAACATTCTGACATTTAACAAACTCATATTTACTACCCCGAAATTGTTCCTAATGTGGACAGACTCCAATTAGAAGAGGCACTGAGGGATGTTCACTTAGTGGTTGAGGCACTGGGCGAGTCACCAAAACCTCACAGGCTCAAATCTCACAAGGGGTCTCATGGCTGGAGCCACGAATACAGAATCCGACCCGAATAGCTTCAGGAGAATGATCCAGCTGCATAAGGGGCATCATGTTTCAATTTATGCTATGCAGATCACCTCCTGGTACAAGCATTTTATAACTGTAAGGGTTAAATCAGAAACTCAAATGGAGAACTTTGTATATTTTCTTAGACACCAGAATCTCTCCTCCGATTTTTAATCAGCTGTACCTCTCTGATTCTTCCTCTTTTAATTCCTGGCCACTCATTAACGTCCTAGACTGAGCCGCCAACTCCGCCCCATCCGAGGACACGCCCCCCAGCAAACCGCCAATCGCAGTCCCCGCCTCCCCCTGAAAATCGGACTCCTCCACCTTCACCTGGCCGCCCTCTGACAAGAAGCCCTCCCCTTCGTCGAAATTGTAGCTGTAGCCTTCGTCAATGTCAGCCGCATTTAAGTTGCTAACGCCGGCACCGCCGTCATAGCTGGGGGGCATGCCGGCCGCGGCTAGCCTCTCGCAGCGCGCCTGGTGACGTAGGAAGCTGTCCCTCCAGATCACCTTCTTTCCACAGAGTCCACATTCATAGGGCCTCAGGCCACCGTGAGTTTTGAGGTGCTTGGTGAGGTGGTGCTTCATCTTGAAGGTCTTGGCGCACACGGGGCAGGCGAAAGGACGCAGGTTCAGGTGCTGCATCTTGACGTGCCGGTCGCGCATGCTCTTCAACGTGTAGGCCTTGCCGCAGTGACAGAAATGCACCTTGCCTGAGTAGGAGGTGCCTGCAATGGAAAGGGAAGAGGAGGAGGAGGAGGAGGATGGGATGGGAGGAGAAGAGGAAGGGGGAAACGGAGCAGAGGAAGGAGGGATGTGGCGGCTATTCCCAGGAGCAGTTGCACCTCCTTGGCCCTGGGTGGCGATGTTCAGAGGCGGCCAACCTAACTCCGGAGGCCCCAAGTGATATTCATTGTCATCAGAAGGGGATGCAGGCACTAATGGCCTCTGGGAAACCTGTCCGGTGCCATCTTCAATTTCATCATAAGTGTCCCCACCAAAGGGCACGCTGCCTTCATCTGCAAAGCGCCCAAAATCAACCTCTTCCTCTTCTTCCTCATCTTCTTCCTCCTCTCTTCTATAATCCTCCTCCCTCTCCATTGGCCTGCTTCCCTGCTGCAACCAGGGACTTGCCTGCCACTGCATGCGAGCAGGAGGACCAGGTCCTGCACCGTTGCTTTCCACACCGCGAAGGGAGCTGACGTCAGACTCTTTCTCAAGCTCCCCCCCATCCTTGGACGCAGCCTCAGGATTGTCTCCTTTGTCCAGCTGCTCTCCTTCTCCCTGGTACACACTTGTGGGGTACTCTGCTGTTACACAGCAGAAGAGGAGGGGGGGGAAAAAAAAAAAAAAAAACAGGGCACACTGCTTTTAACAAAATGTGCTTCAATGAAACAAAAGCTCATGCATTATGATAAAAAGCTAACTAAACATCTGCTTCAATATTATAAATTAATCGTAACATTAAAGATTTCAAGAATTTTGGTTCATCATTTTAGAAAAGATTTTTTAAAATAATTGTAAAATCAGATTTCCACTTACCAGACTGTCCTGTTCTCTCTGCTCCATCCATCTCCTCCTCCTCTTCCTCCCCCACAACTTCTCCCATCCCTTCATCTGGTTCTGTTCCTCTCTCCCCATTCTTCTTCCCTTGAAGATCTCCATCTGCCTCCCCAAAGCTCTGTGCACCATCCACACCACGTCTCTCCACCCCTCTTACCCCGAATTTCTGGAAATCCTCCACGGAGCAGCTCTGCTGCGTCCCCTTGGGTCGGGCCCTCGGCCTCAGCCTGCCGGCTTCGCTGATGTAGCCGAGCACACCGTGAGGGCCGGGTCTGCCGTTAACATTGTCAAAAGCGGCTCGGTAAGCGTTGCCGCCGTCGTAGCCCCGAGGGCTGGCTTTGCTGTTCGCCGACATCCAGAGCTCTTCGCAGCTGGAGTAGTCACTCTCCACACTTGGGTTGGGGTCAAGCTGAGAGTCAGCAGATGACTGTGGAGGCAGCGTCTGAGCTGCCGGCCGAGGACGGTTCCACCTGGAGAACTGCTGAGGATGCCTCCAGCTTGCCAAGGGTGGCAGAGAGCCTTGGTCTGGACAAGGTGGCCTCTTCTCAAGTGTGGCAGGACCAACCTGCCCCCGGTCCCTAGTCTCTCTCTCCTTGGCCTCCACACCCCGCTGCCTCTCCCTCTCACGCTCCCTCTCAGTGTAGAGGCAGTCAGTGCTGCTGGGGGACTGCTGCCTGGATGGGGCATTATGAGTGTTGCCGCCGTGACTCTGAGCGCCCCCTAGTGCCCGGGGCCTCTTCAGGATTTCTGTGCACTTGTCCACGATGTGCCACATCTGCAGGAAGCTGGCCACGGTGACGTAGTTGACGATGTCGTCGCGCACAATGCTCAGGTGGCCCGTGTAGGCGGAGCTCAGGACGCTCTCAAAGACCAGGGGGTCCATGACTGAGGGGAGGGAGACGGTCGTCACGTTTTTCAGCAGCACCTATAGCAGGGCACAAACACATTTTATTCAGCCATATTTTTTCACATACTACATCACAGGTGTTTAGTCAATAGCAATAATAATAATAATAATAATAATAATAATAATAATAATGACATTCATATATTTGAAAATGATTGAAATTCTCTTTTCAGCTACCCCGTCTTGCTCTCCAAGACACACAAATACACACACTATTGACTATTGGGACACCTGGCCATTACACCTGCAGGAACTCTTATGACATCACATCCTAAATCCATAGGCATCAATACTGAGTTGGTCCCCCTTTTGCAGCTATAATATCTGCCTCTGTTCGGGCTTAAATGGGCAATCAAAGGCCTGGAGGTTTTGCCCGCTGAGCCACATGCTGCTCCCCACGTGAGCAATGGTCAATATTTCCTCTACCAGAAGTCAATTTGTAGAGCATCTTACTGGTGGATATGGATATTATTGTAATATATCTGAAAGACAGAATATTACAAATGGAGTCATTTTCACACACTATTGTTTTAACAAAAAGGAAATCTGTCAACACCAATGCAGCGAAGAATTTTCTAGTCTAATAGTTAAGACGACTTGTGATTACTTGCCAGATCCCTCCCTCTCACACACCACTTATCCAGATGGTTAAGTAAATGGGGAAAATTGATAGTTGATATAGCTGTGTAGGGCTTCTGATTGAATATTCTCCTCCTCAGAATATTAGCTATCACTGTTACTAACAGGAGGAACATCTTCACGCTAACAAGGTCGAAAGGCAGCGACACAGACCTGGTCGTGAAAGTAAGGCGATGATGCAGCCATCACGCAGCGATGGGCCCGGAAGACCTGGCCCTGCACCTGGATGGACAGGTCACACAGCCGGCCCTCCTCGCGCTGCCGGTTCAGGCTGTCCAACACAGCCGTCCTCACACTGGGGAAGCTCACCTCCACCACCGAGCCAGCGGAGGTGCCAGAGCCACTACTACTACAGCTCTGATCCATAGGACCTGGAAATGATACTGCTTTAGTTGCATTTTATCATTCATACAATACTTTTTTTTAAGTAAAAATTCGATTTAATAATATCAATTAACTATTGTATCAAACAAAGGCGCTGTTAAGCCTATTTAAGGGGGCTTTAACTCCCCTAGTCTACGACTTTGGCCATGATACAAATTATGTAGATTCCACTGAACTGAGTATACGCCGAAAATATTAATCGACAGTTCTGGAGTATTATTAAAGGCACTAAATTGCACAGTGATCACCGGCTTCGGTGTGACAAAACCGGTTTATGACACCCAACGTCAATATAAGGCAGTACATGTACAATATAAAAAGGAAATATAATTTTGTTCCAATACTTCGCTGCCATTACAAAGGGGTTAATTACTTGGTGTCTCGTCACTCGCTCCATGATCTAGCCAACATTAGCAATGGTGATTAATATTGGTCAGGGGGAACGACAGACGCGCCTGAGAGTCGCGAGTGGCCACAACAGCGGTTAGTGGTTCACTCGAGGCCCCGGATTAATCTGCGAATAAGGCCTACATACAAGGTTCGACACGGTATCATGGCCAATATTAAAAAAATCCCGGATAGATTTGTATTGTCAAAAACCAGGAGATAGGAAGACATTGTTTATTAGTTATTCATAATACTATCAGTGTCTGTCAGCTAATTTTACTGTCGTTAACTGCCAGGTGCTTTAGAAAACGAGCTCCACAAAGCTAGCAGGCTAGTTAGCGGAAAATTAAATACTTGATATCTATTAATATAATCAAACGCGTAGCCGGCCGCGTCATTTAAATAATGCATAGATATAATTATTCCCATCATGACATTTTTTTCCATGAGCACAGAATTACTGGATCTTTTACACGTCCATTTAGTACGTCGGTTATTAGCTTTCACGGATAACTATACGTACCTTTGTAAATGCCCAAATGTATACTTGTACAGTCCTCCGCAATTGCAAAGTGTTGTATTCGGTGATTTGTATTGGATTCAGATACAATGTCAACTTTCACTTGCAGCCTAGGGAGATATAAAATCCATTTGAAAATGCGCAGCCGTGGCAATGCCCACTTTTCTCTGCTTTTTATAACATTTAGATGGTTGACTGTGAGATCGCCCCTTTCCAAGCTGAACGGCAGTGGGTGTTGGGTGTGAAAAGTTCGCTAGCGGTCTCTAGGAAATTGTCCATTTGGGCCTGCATGGATCACAGACGATTCCTAAAAATAAGGCTCTCAGTCTAACTAGCTTCCGTGGCAACGCCAATGAATGCATAATGTTGTTTACGATGTACGAACACTCATATTACGTCGCAAATACGTTTGGTGCAAAACAGGTTAACTCTCCTTGTTGTCTTTAAACTCGTTAAGTATCGCAAAATTTTTGTCATAAACTCGTTATATATGAACAAAGAAATGGTTCTTAGAAAAGAGAATGTGATACTGGGCTTGTGTGATCGTATTCGGTGACACCAGTGCACACGTTGGGAGAGATGTGGCTGTCTGGAGGGGTGTAAGTACATGGAATAATGTAGAAGAACTGTATCTTGGATCTAAACCCAAGCGGTGAAAGCTTATTGAACTTGTGCGCATTGATCATACGTAATAAACACCCGGCCATAAAGATACCCATAAATGCACTTGGTATCAGAGACCTTATACCAATGGTCAATGATTAGCTTTGCACCTGTGCCATCTGATTTCAGGGCGTGTGTTTTGGACACTCAGGTGAGAAGGCAGGGGTGGGAATTGTCATTTGATTTTGAAAAGCAGCTCCTGCTCCCTCATATTGAGAGGAGCCAGCTGATGTGGTTTGGTCATATTATAAGGATACCACTTCATCAGTTTCCCAGGGAGCGACTCTCGGCACATTTCCCTGAGCATTAGACCCAGGACACCCTGGAAGGATTATATCCCTCAACTGGCTTGGGAATACCTGTGGATCCCCCAGATTGCTCAGCACTGTGACATGAAGAAGTGGTTTGAAGGTGGATGGATCAATGAATATGAGTTGCAATAAGAGCTAGTCCACAAAATATATGTCCCTTGTAAAACCTGTATTTTGGTCACGATAAAAGATGCAGTGCACGGTAACATGCATATCAATGTTAACGTTTATAGTTATATGTTGACTTTCATACTAACTGCAAACTAACAGTACACAAAGAATAACAGTAAGTAGCAACATATTTATGTATATATATATGTACGTTTAACGGAATATTACACTGTATTCGTGCTACATCAGCATTTCAAGAAAAATATTCGCAATCACGTTAACATCAAGGGAAATATGCGTATGTTTAATTTCACATAAAGACTACCATTTCACTATAAACTCTGCTGTACTGAAATAAATCCGTATAAATAATAAAACAAAGTCAGCCGAATTTCTTGTTTACGCCCTAGCGTTGCTCTGGCCCGATTGGTTAATTTGTAAAAGTATTTAAATACGATTGGATAGTCGCGAAGAATATTTCTAATATTACCTCTGATTGGCTCTTGCCACTGCGCCGGAACTCCAAAATACGCCAATTATATTACAAGACATAAAGCGGCAAGGAAAGTATTCAATTTGAAATTCAAACGGTTGTAGGTCGTTGAATAGTGGTAAGTACTACGCAAACCTTTTTAAGTCAATATTAACAACATTAAGTTTTTGATTATCCGACATTTTATGAGTATTAACTTATTTTTGCGATTGTGAAGAATCACTAGCGATGCGATGATACGACTTTAAAAAATTACTGTAATGTACTTTCATAACGATTCTCCTTTTCGCAGTTCGCGGATCAAGCAAGAGCAAAATGAATAAGGAGGTTGGTTTTCTGCTTTGTTCGTGGAAGCATTCGAAACTTTAATAGGTTCGACCTTCTTAGCCAGTTAATTAGCATGTTACATGGACATAATGGACTAATGTTAAGAAAGTTGTAGTCAAATACTAGTAGTTAGTGATCAACGAGTAACTCAATGCGAACATTTTTTCTTTGAGAAAAAAAGTGATGGACATATGCTCCCCTTTTTCAGAATGCATCGCGCCTACCCGTATTCTCTGTTAAGAGGACTTACACAAGTAGCACAGAGAGCAACGGCGAACAACCTGCCCAGGTAATTCTGTTCCTCTGAATAGTTTGCCTATTTACCTTAATGACAGACCCTTAAAGACGTAATGCATTCGGGTGTGTTTCTGTGGTTGAAAATTTCTTTCTCCTTTATGCAATAGAAACTGCGCAAAGTTGATGGAGACGCTGGAAAGGTGAAGCAGGCAGTCAGCATGGCTAACACACGTAATCGTCCAGTAGCTGCAGCCCACCGAGTAATAGGTGAGTAACCTTTCGTCCTCTCACACTACCCAAATCATTTCCCCCAGGCCAAAATAATGCATGGTTCACTGTATAAATTGAGGCATCCACTTGCAGACCGATCTTAAACACTGTATCGATTTGTTATTCATTTCAATCCTCTACCCCAGTCAAACCACTTAGACCAACAGGAGCTGCGACAGTGGCAGAAGGTCCTTCTAAAGGTGAGTTTACAATGAAACCACTTGCATGCCTGATGTTAAATGTTTGTGGCTAGATCGCTACTATTTATATCATTGCACATCAAACTTTTCCCTTTTGCCCTCTTCCTGTCTTTTCCCAGCTATTCAGAAGCGCCCAGTTGCCTCAGTCCCGAAAGCAGGTAACTCACTAGAAGGCATCCATTGCTTAAACATGTGGTCTCTACCGCCAGTCGCAACCATAATGTTTATCTTATGATGGGTGTGCAGTTTGATTTTAGTGGGTTTTCATATAGCTTTCAGTATTGTTATTTAACTTAAGTCACTGTTGGAGATTATTGTATATGTCCCTTGTATATGTAAACTAGAAATAAGTTTGATTTTAAAGAATATTGATAGTTACTTGATCCTGAACTAATGTAGTTATTTGACATTTCATTAAGCTGAAAAGAATGTGTAATTCAGGGTCTCTCTACAAGAGACAGTTGACTTGAACTGGGAAGTTTCCTGTCCTTAGTGCCAGCGACTGGTAAAACTGGAACACGGCGACCAGCCTGGGATTTAAAAGGTAAAGTGACTGATATGGAAAACAAAGTCCAGGTGTATCAGAACCGGGTCAAAAGTACTGCCCAAGAAAATAAGGATTTGAAGGACTCTATGGCCAGGGGGCAAGAGCGGCAACAGCTGATGGATGAGGAGATTCAAACATTGAAATACCAGCTGAGGTAAAGGCTTAGAATGTGTTTCCATGGTAATGCCAACCAACATTGGGTGCTCTTGTGTTTTGCAAAGTTAGGTTTTTACAAAACATTTTGTAATGTTTTGTATAACTCCAAAGCTAATTTGCTCTTGTTACTTGTCATTTATTGGAAGCCTAACAGTACTTATACCAATGTTGGATCCTTGACAGCTATATGCTTATCATGTATTTGCTTCACTGTATATCACTTTGTATGAAAGCACCTGCCAAATGATCATCTGTGTTGGTGGGAATTTTCAGGCATTTTGTTAGTGAGGGGTTTGTATGTTGGGGGGTGTGCAGGTCTGAAAGTGTGCCTGCTTTCCATTGTAGCCAAGCTGTAGCAGAGTTGGCAGACCTGTCTGAAGTCAAAGACCAACTGGATAAGGTGACTGAAGACCGGAATAATCTCAGGGAGAAATTCACCACCTTGAGTCAGGAACATGGTGTACTTTTGAGCCTGAGACAATCTCTTGAGTCTCAGATTCAGAATATACAGGTAATGTGCAGTACTTTTGCCTCTGCAAAATGAGCTGACCCAAACAATGTTTCATGAAACCCTCGCTGAATTTCACAAGGGGGAAGAAATTTGTAAGGGCAGCTGCTAAATATTCCATAGTGTTTGCTAGTTTTGAATTGCCCCACATCCCCCCCCACCCATACACTTTGTGTTGCAGACTCAGATGACAGTGCAGGGCTCCGTGCTATCCTGCTGTCAGTCTGATTTGAAGGAGGCACAGGAAATGGTGAGGAATCTTGAGGAAAAGGTGGCCCACCAATCAGATGAAATATACCGGGGAGAAATGGAGCGCCGGAAGCTGCATAATACCATCCAGGAGCTGAAGGTGATGATGATTATGGATTTAAATGGTCACAAAATGAAAAATACTATGGATGATCAATAACGAGATACTCTTATGATTGCAGGGAAACATTAGGGTGTTTTGTAGAGTTCGCCCCCTGCTGACAGCCGACCAGTTAAACATGGCACACATGGAGTTTCCTGCTCATGATGATAAGACCCTCAAACTGGCTAAGACTGAGGAGGTACTTCCATGAATCTTAGTGCTTCACTGCTGAATATGGCAGAGAATAGTGCACATCACTTTATAAGCATATATGTGTTTAGCATGCAGCGTCATATATCCTGAAACTGACTACATTTCCTGTTCCTATGCAAAGAGTAGCTCTGCAGGAAAGTCCACTACTAGATACAGGCAATCTGTTACTTTACAGCCATATATATACACTCACCTAAAGGATTATTAGGAACAGCTGTTCGATTTCTCATTAATGCAATTATCTAATCAACCAATCACATGGCAGTTGCTTCAATGCATTTAGGGATGTGGTCCTGGTCAAGACAATCTCCTGAACTCCAAACTGAATGTCAGAATGGGAGAGAAAGGTGATTTAAGCAATTTTGAGCGTGGCATGGTTGTTGGTGCCAGACGGGCCGGTCTGAGTATTTCACAATCTGCTCAGTTACTGGGATTTTCACCACAACCATTTCTAGGGTTTACAAAGAATGGTGTGCAAAGGGAAAAACATCCAGTATGCGGCAGTCCTGTGGGCGAAAATGCCTTGTTGATGCTAGAGGTCAGAGGAGAATGGGCCGACTGATTCAAGCTGATAGAAGAGCAACTTTGACTGAAATAACCACTCGTTACAACCGAGGTATGCAGCAAAGCATTTGTGAAGCCACAACACGCACAACCTTGAGGCGGATGGGCTACAACAGCAGAAGACCCCACCGGGTACCACTCATGTCCACTACAAATAGGAAAAAGAGGCTACAATTTGCACAAGCTCACCAAAATTGGACAGTTGAAGACTGGAAAAATGTTGCCTGGTCTGATGAGTCTCGATATCTGTTGAGGCATTCAAATGGTAGTCAGAATTTGGCGTAAACAGAATGAGAACATGGATCCATCATGCCTTGTTACCACTGTGCAGGCTGGTGGTGGTGGTTTAATGGTGTGGGGGATGTTTTCTTGGCACACTTTGGGCATCGTTTAAATGCCACGGCCTACCTGAGCATTGTTTCTGACCATGTCCATCCCTTTATGACCACCATGTACCCATCCTCTGATGGCTACTTCCAGCAGGATAATGCACCATGTCACAAAGCTCGAATCATTTCAAATTGGTTTCTTGAACATGACAATGAGTTCACTGTACTACAATGGCCCTCACAGTCACCAGATCTCAACCCAATAGAGCATCTTTGGGATGTGGTGGAACGGGAGCTTCGTGCCCTGGATGTGCATCCCACAAATCTCCATCAACTGCAAGATGCTATCCTATCAATATGGGCCAACATTTCTAAAGAATGCTTTCAGCACCTTGTTGAATCAATGCCACGTAGAATTAAGGCCGTTCTGAAGGCCAAAGGGGGTCAAACACCGTATTAGTATGGTGTTCCTAATAATCCTTTAGGTGAGTGTATATAAATAAAAATAAAAATTTGTATTTATTCCTGCTGTACAGAATTTCTTCTAAGATGAAGCAGTGTTTTTAGAACTATGTATGCTCACTTGGATAACCCTGACATGCTTTTATGTATGGAGCATACTGTGGTCTGTCTGAAAAATCATAATTTTCCTGTCCATTTCTAGTCCCACACGGGTCGAAACGGTGACACCCAGCGGAGCTATAACTTCAGCTTTGACAGAGTGTTTGGACCCAAAGCTTCCCAGAAAGAGGTCTTTGAGGAAATCGCCCTGCTGGTTCAGTCTGCTCTGGATGGGTTTAATGTCTGTTGCTTTGCATATGGCCAGACAGGCAGCGGTAAAACTTATACCATGGAGGGTGCAGAAGTGGAGGATACTCAGGGGGTTATCCCCAGAGCAGTGCACCAGATCTTTACCACTGCGAAGGCTCTAGAAGAGCAGGGCTGGCAGGTATGCTTGCTACTATGTCTAGTTGAAGCCTTATTTATTTATTTATTTATTTATTTATTTTAATCCGTAGCTCAATGCTGATAAGATCCAACTGTGCCTCAACATTCAACTAACCAGTAAATGCAATAACCCGTGTGGCACTTGAGTACTAGAAAAATGTCTGTCTTTCTGTCACAGTACAAATTTGTTGCAAGTTTTGTGGAGATCTATAACGAGACACTGAGAGACCTCCTGTACCGGGGCAAGTCCAACAAACGTCCAGAGCATGAGATCAAGAAGACATCCAGCTCTGACATCACTGTCACCAATTTGACTTACCAGCAAGTCACCACTGAGGATGAGGTTAGATTCTTCCCTATTATTCCAGTACTGTTTCTGTCCTTTGATTACACTGACTTCAGATTCTTAAAGCAACTGGTTTTAAGTTTACTATAAAATTCAGACATTTTCAAAACTTAGGTCTAGTGTTCTTGTTCACCACCCATGCTCCACCTGTCCCGTCCAGGTTTGTAACCTCATCCTGCTGGCCAATCGGAATCGATCAACTGCTCGGACCAACATGAATGACTACTCCTCTCGCTCTCACTCCGTGTTCCAGTTAGACATAGAGGGTGAGAATGCAAACAGAGGAATCAAGAGTAAATGTGAGTCTCAATAATTTTTATTAAGTGTTGAATTATGGATGCATACTTTGATTTCGAATTGTTGTACTGTAGGGTTATTGTGAAATGGGTATAATACTAACGTCCATATTTTCCTTCTTGGCTACATGAAGATAATGGATTGTGCATAGATTTAAACTTGTCCGTTTTTTAAATATATTGATTTGGAGTTGACCCAGTTGCTTCGACTTGCTTGTAACATGCAGCTACCCTGTGCCTGGTTGACCTCGCTGGCAGTGAGAGGGTTCAGAAGAGCCAGTCTCAGGGAGAGAGGTTTAAGGAGATGACTGCAATTAACAACTCGCTGACCAACCTTGGCATTGTGATAACAGCACTTGCAAATAAGGTTGGTCTTTTCTATCCACCTTCATTACAGGGTTCCTGCGGGGTCTTAAGTCTAAAATTCAGAAAGTTAAATTTAAGGCCTTAAAAGTGCAGTATGTCCTGCTCCGCTCGTCTGCTCCTCCCGTGTGCCACGCCCCCTCGTTAGCCCCGTGTGGATTCCCTCTGTTTATCAGCTGTTTCCAGTTGTTTTCATTATTGCTGATGGGTCTGGAACGTAACTTCCGCGATAGGCGGGGGATCACTATATATTTAAGGCTTAAACTATAAAAAAGTTTATGTATATGGTCTTTCTATATCGTGGATTTTCACCTATGGCTGATAGGTCTGGATCCCCCACCTATCGCAGAAGTTACGTTCCAGACCCATCAGCGAAAGGTGAAAATCCACGATATAGAAAGGCCATATACATAAACTTTTTTATAGTTCAAACCTTAAAGTACCACTCCCACATGCTTTAAACACATGTGAACTTATTAAAACGCACTTTAAACACATGATATGTGGATGTTAGGCTAAGGATATGATCGAGTGACATAAAATATGAGAATTTCTGGTATCATTCGAATGTTTTTAGTAATGCATCGGTTGGTCTTAAATTTTACTCATAATGGTCTTAAAAGGTCTTAAAAAGGTCTTAAATTTAACTTAATGAAACCTGCAAGAACCCTGTCATTAAATTGTTAAATTAGATGCCATCCAAACCTAATTTTCATACCATCTAGATCAGTGGTCACCAACCTTTTTGAAACTTGGTACTGAGCCATACGAAGGGCTACCCGGGTACCCATGGTCATGGAAAACCTGGAAGAGTTTTGGAATTTTGAAATAATTTTTCCAGGCTCAGGATAAGTTTTGGAATTCTTGGATAGAGAGGAAAAGTTTCGGAAACTAGCCTTGTTCATTTTTGTTTCCCGCTTCGTTCCGCAAGGCGCTAACGGAAATGTATGTGCGGAAGTCAATAGTTAACTACCTTATACAAATACTGTTATATCTACTTTAATTTTACAAACTTGTGGGTTTTGGGGGAAAAAAATTCTTATGGTACTGGAAAAGTCGGGAAATGTATTCTGCCAGGATTGGGGGAACCCTGCCTACCAGTTTGAAATGCCCTCCTAAACTTCATGCATAATAAACATGTTTTAAATGATATGATATTTAAAGATATTGTCATTTTCAAATCTATATAAATGCAAATGTGATTGAAAAATTAAATTTTAGACACTGCTCACTGGTGAGTTGTGCTATTTTTAGAACAGGTCTGCGGTTGACTCGTGTGGTTGCTGGGGGCATCCTGGTGCCCGCGGGCACCATTTTGGTGACCCCTGATCTAGTTATTATACTGTAGTATACTGGATTAGGATTTAAGCAATACCTTTCCATTGCCATAATACCGCCCAAGCCTACTGTTAATGTATGAGTTCAAATGTATTAGTGGTTTTTAGAATTTGATCGACATCTCAATGTCTGTTCTTTCAATTCAGGACAACTTCATACCATACAGAAACTCAAAGCTCACATATCTGCTTCAGAATTGCTTGGGGGGAAACAGCAAGACGTAAGTCTGTTGCCCTCTGCCTAACTCTTAAGATGCACATTCTGCTTTGGAAACTTAGGCGAGTGATTGGAAAGTGATTACTCTGCTGTTACTGATCTTTGGTACATTAAAGGGTTTTTGTCAAGCTGTTTCTTCTTACCCATCAGCCTCATGTTTGTCAACATTGCCCCAGAGGAGGAAAGCTTTGGAGAGTCGCTGAACTCCCTTCGATTTGCCAGCAAGGTTGGTACATGATTAACCAGCTGTGCAAAAAATCTTGTACTTTCATTGCTCCCATCTCATTCTCAATGACAGTTTAAGGTGCAAACTATGAACCACTTTGTGTGTAAATGTACTTAAACATGCTTCTGATCTTTTATGCTTGAGAGCTTTCAAAATAAGTAATCTGAAATGTTCTTTACAGTGACTCAATTTTTCATTCTGTGTCCCACTCTTTTAGGTCAATGAATGTGTCATCGGGACAGCTTCAGCAAACAGAAAATGAGCATCAGGCTTTCAAAAACAGAATTTATAAACCAAACATGGCATCGTTTTAAAAATCTGTGTACTTATTGCTTTGAATATTATGAGCGCATGTGTAAATCGTGTATTTGACTATTAGAGCCTCAATTCATTGCTTTTTGTGCTTTTCATGTAGAGCAGACTTTCTCAATAAAATTGTAATAGTCACTAAGCCTGTGTTGCTTGTACCCTAAATTTAAGAGAAATAGAAGATTCCATGAATGTTACACGTAGAACGAGGCAACGAAAATAATCTAGCATTTTTACTAAATGAAGATTGGTTTAAATTTGGTCCATCTCTGTTTGAAGGGCACTGCTGCCCCGTAGCCACGCCTCTGCCATGCATTCTGCTTTTAAAGACAAAAATCGAGAAGCTTTAAGTTTATTTTAATTTAATTTAATTTTTTAACATGCTACAATTTAGGTCTGCAATATACTCTCCATTTAAAGCATGTTTTCATTTTTAAGGTTTTATGTTAAAACTACTAGTTGATAGCCTGGGGGGGAAAATCATGTTGCTTTTGTCTACCTATGGGAAAATGGTTTCAAAATGGTGGGTTAGGAGACCAGATGCTTTGGCTTACCTGCCTGCCTTAATTCTATCGGTTCAATTGGTTCTTTTTAGTCGGCTAAAATCCGCAGCTTGGCATCTCTTAAAGGCGCCTGGCGGCGAGACATTGGTACAATATATGAAGACGGAGTTAAATCCAGTTGTGATCCAAATTTGCTGAACTAGTTAGAGGGGAGGGAATTTGGTCGTTCAGACCGTAACATCGATTAAAGATAAACCGTAAGTTTCTTTACGAGGGAAAAAAAAATCCTGTAGCATACATAGTAATCGCTGTAAATGGTTAGACGTTGCTTCGATTAGCCGGCTACATAACGATTGTAGCGAGCAGATTACTGGTTTGCGCGTAGATGTGTAACATCTTTAATTATTCTTCGTTTAGCTATTGCCTCAAATACGTAAACAGGTAATGCACGCGCCATGTAGCCCTCGAGCCAGCTACTTTACGTTACTTGGCAATCAAGTGTCTCCTACCATAGGTAACTATCCAGAATAACCAATAAGCAGCAGAAAACTGTAACTGCTTTGTTCCTAACGAATCTCGCATGCGTGATATTCGAGGTTATTTTCTTAACGTTTCACTTTTGAAAAGACTTAATGTTTCCCGGAAAGTGGTGGATTATCCGCGAGCGGCGCGCTAGCTAACATGACGGCGCGAGCAGCCGAGGACAGCCGCGTGACTAGTTATCCGACTGCTCACGTATACAGCAACTTCGGGCTTTGGTGAGAGGAGGGACACTTTCCCGGCTAACCCGTAACTAGTAAGCGGCCGCTTCACAAAAGACTGTTGGCAAGATGGCTCGGGCCCCCCGGTGCTGAGCGAAATCCCCGGACTCAAGTGACTGGGACCCGCTGTCAGGTACGGAGTCCCCGCCGCCGCGGCACAGGGGCGGTCGGGGTTTATTAGGGTCCTTATGCTTCGGCGATACACCTGTGACTAACAGGGTTGTCAAAACTGTTTAAAACTCCAAGTCCCTTATGTATAAATGAAATGTGTCTCGCTTTTTTTCCCTAAGTCATGTGTCCGGCCAGTTAGCCAGCTGCTGTGCCGCCAGATGTGGTGTTTCCATGCCAAGTTTAATCCTTTTAATGCCAAATGCACACTGCGCATTACAGTAATGCGGGCTTTCAAATGGTTTTCTGATACTATGATAAAGGTATGCAGTTTGCACAGTATTTTATCATATATTTATATAAACCGTTTATGCCAAGATTAGGGTCAGTTTTGCTATGGTTGCTATGATTTGTAAGGCATGACTTCCTTATGTACATTGATGAATGAGCCTCTGTATGCATAACTGCGAGAAATAATAGCATTTAAATGGCATTACATTTTAAATAATGTCAAAAACTGCTGTCGCAAAATATGAATCCAAAGGTTCTTTGGGGAACTCCTCACTGTTGAGAGGTCAGTAATAAAGACGATTGGAAACGCACAGCCCTACAGTAGTAAAAGGCATGTTTAGAAAATACTTTCAATTGCTTGTAAGTAAAGTTTATTAGGAGCAAATTGTATATATGGTATGGACGGTTTATCTTTGACATTATAAAATAATTTCCTACAAATTTCCATCACAAACTTAATTCATGACTTGTTTGTGCATGATTTATGTGGAATACCCTAGATACCAGGTCCTGGGTGTTGGATCTAAACCAGCCTTTTCCTCGCCTTTCTCCTCCAGCCCTAATGTCCGTGTCAGTGGAGCAGGGCTGCAGCAGCAGCAGTTGCTCTGGCACCCCCGCTGGCTCGGTGGTGGAGGTGAGCTTCCCCAGCGTGAGGACGGCTGTATTGGACAGCCTGAACCGGCAGCGGGAGGAGGGCCGGCTGTGTGACCTGTCCATCCAGGTGCAGGGGCAGGTCTTCCGGGCCCATCGCTGTGTGCTGGCTGCATCCTCGCCCTACTTTCATGACCAGGTCTCTATGTGTTTTGCCTCTGCCCTTTGACCTATTTTTCCTAGTTCCTGCTGTGGTCAGACCTCAGACTTTTGTCACTTTGTCTACTCAGTCTCAGGTTGTTACATTTTCTCGGGTTATCTCTTTATATTTTTCTATATATAATTATGAGAAAATGAGTGATATGCTATATTAATGGGCAGATCTTTTCCTTTAGTGTAGGGGTTCCCAGCCTTTTGATTTCCACAGAGCAGTTTGCTTCATACAAAAATTTCGTGGACTACTAAAACGGCCCAGTGTCAATGGATCTATCGGCAATTTTAGTAGTTTAACATTTCTGTTTCTTTCAGGTGTAATCAGATTGTAAAGGGTTGTAAAACATTGAAAATATGTAGCTTAGTTTTGGAAATTTACCACCTTCTCTGCAAACCCCCCATGAGTTTGTGGCTAGGTGGAATACTGGCCGTACTGTAAAAATGCTGTTGGTCGCCTGTGGGTTAATGGAATATTAGTGGTGTTAGACCAGTAACCCCAGATTCCCAGCATAACTTGCTTTGCGTGTGTCTCCTCCTAGGTGCTTTTGAAGAACATGTCCACGGTCTCCATCCCAGCTGTCATGGATCCTCTAGCTTTTGAGAGCGTGCTGAGTTGCGCCTACACAGGGCAGCTCCGCATGCTGCGCGAAGACATCGTCAACTACCTCACTGTGGGCAGCGTGCTGCAAATGTGGCACATCGTGGACAAGTGCACCGAACTCCTGAAGGAGAGCCGAGGGTCGGGGAGTGGCCCTCATGCCGGTGGCACCCAGGGTAACACTGGCTGCAGCAGCAGCAATAGCAACAACGGCAGTTCTAGCGGCATGCTAGGGGTCGGGGCCCATGCTGGGGATACCCATTCTGGAGCTCCGCCCCCCAGCCGACCGGCCCTGAACGAGAGCCAATCACCCAGTAGCACTAACTATTTCAGCCCTAGAGAGACAGGCTTTGGAGGGGGCACTGCAGCTGCTGGAGCATCAGGAGATGGGGCCATAAACTCTACCCCCAGCTATTGCACTCCATCCGGGGGCGATGAAAGCTTTCTGATCGAAGAAGATGACGAAGACGAAGAGCTGCTTTACCCCAGAAAACAGGAGAGGGGGAGCGGCAGGAGGAAGAAGACAAGCTCAGTTTCTGATCAAGAAGTTGGCGTGAGCGACAGTTTCGGGGTGTCCTCCTATCAGGATGGCGACCCCTGTCCTCCCCAGAAGCGCCCTACCTACAGCCAGCCCAGCATCATGCCTCGCAAGCAGTGGGTGGTGGTGAAGACTGAGCGACCCCAGGATGATGAGCTAATCGTGGTGTCCGGGGAGGAAGGTGGAGAGGAGGATGAGGACAGGGATATGGAGCTGGAGAGGGTGCGGGAGAGGGAGAGGACATTCAACATATCTGACGTGAGGACCCTCTCCGGGGAGATGGGCACCAGAGGCGAAGCTGAAATGGAGGCACAGGTTAGTGTCTCGCGTTGTGTGAAAATGTCCCCGCAACGGAAGTAGCTCCTGAAGATCAGACCATCTGTTTTTATTAGTTATTACATTTTGGTTGTTTAAGCTTTGTCATGTACAGAGTCTAGGAATCAAAATGAGAATTGATGGGAAGTCCTACCCTGGAACCAGCTAACATTCGGACGGCTGAATCTTGATTGAAAATACATGAGCACATCGCAATCCTTTTCAATAACCGCTTATCCAGTAGAAGGTCACAGGGAACCTGTATCCTGTTCCAGTACGCATGAGGCAGGGGATATGCTCTCACACACTACAGGCAGGGGACATGCTCTCACACACTACAGGCAGGGGACATGGGGACACAGCGAGGGGCAGGAATCAAACCCATAACTCTTGAGGATCAAAGCCAAAGTGACATATGAGTAGGGATCAGAGGGCAGAGCCAGTCAGTGTCCCTGGAGCAATTGTGGGCTAAGTGCCTCTCTCAAAGGCCCAGCAGTCACATCACTCTGCCAGCTATAAGACTTGTTCCATTGAACTTCCAGTCACAGAGACCTAATCCACAGACCCACACATACTCCCATTGCAATAGTTGAAAATAAAAACAGTACAACTTTCATCTGTGTGACTGTATTCTCGGGCTTCATTTTCTCTTTCCTGTAGGTAGATTACTGCCAGTCCTCTGAAGACTACCTCAAGTTTGACAGTGACCTGATGGATCAGTCAGCACCACAACACGCTCACAATACCTCTGGTAACTCAAGTGGCAGAGCAATCTCTGCCTTACTGGGACCCGTTCAGTCTGGTGCTACGAGAGCCCAGCTTTTCCCTATTGACATGCAGGGAAATCAGATCCTGCTCTACAGCCAAGGAACCCTGGAGCCCTCCCCTGCAGGTGCAGTTGTGGGTGGGGCATCCCTGAAAGGGATGGGATTGGAACACGGTGCCGTCCATCTGTCAGGACAGGGCGGGCTGGATGGCTTAGATGGAGCTGGGGGCGGGGCCTCTGGCAAGGTGTTCATGTGCCACTGTGGGAAGACCTTCACCCACAAGAGCATGCGGGACCGGCACATCAACATGCACCTGGACCTGCGGCCGTTCCACTGCCCGGTGTGCGCCAAGAAGTTCAAGATGAAGCACCACCTCACCGAGCACATGAAGACGCACACAGGCCTCAAGCCTTACGACTGCCACAGCTGTGGAAAGAAGTTTATGTGGCGCGACAGCTTCATGAGGCACCGCTCGCATTGCGAGAGGCGCGGGGGCGGCAGTGCCGCAGAGGCGGGGGCTGGCCTGGAGGGGGCGGGCATCATCTCCTCGCCCCACCACACAAACAGTGATGTCAGCCAGAGGCTTCCCACCAGTGGTGTCGGTGGCAGGAGCGGAGTCCCTGTCATGTCCCCCCATCATTCCAGCAGTGGCAGCAGCGTGTCCAGCCTGACCATGACAGGTTCGGGGCCTCTGTTAGGGGTCTCTTCTCAGAGCTCGGCACACAGTCTAGGGTCCGCCGTTTTTGGGCTGGGAGGTAACCGTGGCGGTTGTGAGGACGAGGTGTGCGAGGTGACTGTGAGCGAGAGCAGCGTCACATAGATTTCATTCTGGGCACAAAGACAAGCGTGTAAGACGGCGGTCTAGACTTTGGGTTTTCTACGTCATCTGTCATCTTTGTAAGTCAAACATCAACACCCCCCTTCGGGGCTCAGTGGCAGCCTGGAGGCTGCCCTTTGACTGAAGCACGCCGCCCTGGTGTTCTCGTCATGCGTGTCATGCAGTGAGACCCCATGCGTGCACATGTCTCCACAGTGCTGCCCACCTTTCTGTGACACACTCCTGTCACAAATGGTCTCCTTAAGGTTTATGACCAGTGTCACTGTCCCGTCCCAGTCAGTGGCAAATCAGTGTTGGTTATTCCTATTCCCAAAAACATGATTCCATTGTTAATACTGTGTGCGTGCGCTCACAGTACGTGTTTACAGAGTCTTCAGATTATTCAATGTTTTAAAGTTTCGGTCTGTTGTAGAAACCGATGGTTGAATGGAGCCCCTTCACAGCATTTTCCACATATCAGCTAAGACAAGAACGAGCTATTGGGGAGTCGTGTGTGGAAATCGGAAGGATGCTGATCTTTTCATCTGGAAAAAACTCACGCAGACACATTTTTAAAAAATGATGTCTAGGTTACAGAATCTCTTACTCTGCTTCGAATCACTCGTCGCTGCCTTCTATGAAGGCTGTTCATGATGGAATCAAAATGGATATATGAGAAACGTGATACTGTCCATAAAAAACATAATTAGGGAAGAATCGTAAGGAGGCTTAAGATACATTTCAGGTGTGAATTTCCCAAAGCCGCTTTTATGCTGCATCATTCGTAAATTCTATCTTTCAACATAGATCTTATGAATGACATAGTGTTAAGAAGGCTTTGGGAAACTCACCCCAGTCCATTATTACGTCACATCCATGTCCGTGTCACACCCATCAGAAATAAATATACCTGAAATTAATTACAAAGAATATGCTACATGCAGCCAGTCAGATGTGAGGATTCATTTTATATTAACTGCTGGCTTCTGGAAGTTTTCCATTCACATATTCGCCTTGGTCATGAATGATTTTATGTGTCTGGATTGTGGAAGTCTTTAGAAAGAAACTGTGAATGGGCTAATATTAATATAATATTATTTGGGGAAAATTTTGAGATTTATGTGCATCTGAGATTTTACAAGGCACATTAGTCTTGCTTTGGACTAACTGCTGTTTTGATAATATTATGTAAATACTTAGAGCGATCTAGAAATATTTATGTTTGGACAGCGATTTTGACAAAACAGGTAAAATGGAGAAATTTTACAGACACTATACATGAAATCCTTTTGCCTTATTGGTACTTAGACACATTGAATGAGTGGAGAATACAGATATTAGAGGTAAGCAGTGCAACATAATTATCCTCACTGGCTCAAAACGGCATAGCAGAGATGAGTCAAATTTAATATTTTGATACATACGATACAGGGAAGTATTTGTAGATATCTGTAAAATACTTGGACCATTTTGTAGCATTCCTTTCCCAATTTCTTCCAATTTCCAGATGTCTATGTTCATTGTAGTCATTTGAGGAGGCTCATGGAACAGGTGTGCTGGAATGTGGCCGTTTGTGGTCCTGGATCCATTTTTTGGCACATGTGACACGTTGGATGCTTAATATCCCTACAATGTGGTGTAGAAGTGAAACACATCGGCACTCAAGGAATTGGCTGATGTTTAAATGTACAGTTCCATTTTCAAAATGCCTGGGGGAAAAACAGTGAAAATTGAAAGAAAGTAGTATTTTAGTTTAATATCTTAAAGAAAAAATACTGTAGCCGCTGCATTGTAGAAAGAAAGCAGCCAGTTTTTCATTGGATCCTTTGTTGTTAACTGCTATACAACTCTGTGTGGATTTTAACTTGCATTTGTTTATAAGTCTGCAAAAGGACACTAAATATTCATCATTACACAAGCCTGTTTTTGCCACACTATGGGCATCAGTTAAAGTTCTCAGACTGTAACTGGAAATATAGACATCGGTGTTGTCATTGCTAACCTCCATAGAAGCGTGAGATGGGAAATAAATAATCTCTGTCACAACTGTCTTGATTCCATTTCCTTCTGTTTAAGGTATTGTCATCTTTGGTCATTGCTGGGTGTGTTTTGATAGAAGCTTTTTTTTTTCCTCATAGATATTGCTGGAGAGCCCGTGGAAAGGAAGCTAGGGGAATATTTCTGCATCCATTTATTCGTGATTTTCTTGCAGTTGGATTCGTTTGTTGGCTTGCATCTTAAAAAAATTTATGCTTTTGATACAATGAGGATCTCTACTCTAATGAGGGGTTATGTTCCATCATTCTGCACTCTAAATTAGGCAATGCGCACGAATGCATGGATGCAAGCGGTATAGAATTCATGATTTGTGGTGGATTCCCCAAAAGACTCATAAGTCACTGTGTCTCAGATTTTAATGGAGATGAGTGGTTTTTGTTCTCTAGATAGAAATGAAAAGAAACACCATAACTGGCTGTTTGCATTATTCAGCAACCCCACAGTTTGTCCCTTGGAATCAGAAAGAGTTTTAGAATTTTACAGTCTCTACATTATAATCAATTAGTAGCTAATTAGTCTGGGCAATTAAGAGCTTGCCCAGATACATTATTGGCTTGTGCATCGAGGCTTTACGATTTGAAAATCCTGCATAATTATCACTTTACGGCTGACGCACCGGCAGCTCAGTGACATCAATCATATTCACTTTTTACAGATGTGAGCCCAGACACCTACACATAAGCATCTCTATGGTTACAGAACTAGTTGCTATGGTAATTTTTAGTCACTATGGAGACAGTGCCACTCACTTCAGTTGGCATCAAGTTGAAGTGGCAGCTGTAAAGGCTTATGTGTATTCACGGTGACTGGGAAGGCGTTCAGATGACTTCACGGAGGTTGATCCCTTTGCCGTGGTAATTAAGGTTTCCCATTGTGTCAGGTTAATTGTATTCATTATTGTTATAAATATGTTGCCTTGGGACAGAGTGGTTTTAAATTGAAATAATTCATTTTTTCTGTTACCTAGCCAGAGAGCTTTGAATTTTCACCAGACGTGAAGGTGATAACACTGTCGTGAAGTCACATTATTGCCCTGTAGATGACACAGCACAGATTGACTGGACCCTGTACATTTCTCAACAATGACAGCTTAAATGACACATCTACTCACTTGACAATGTCATATATCCAGTCACTCTGCACAAATGTGTCAGGGATGTGTTAACATTAATGCAGGTTTTGGCATTTCAAGTTTCCAGAATCCCTCACTTTTGATATCAAACTGTAATTGCCATTTGGTTCTGATGTATTTTACAGGGAATGGGAAATGCATGTGCCATGATGCAGCAGTTTCATTACTTTGGACCAGACTGCAGAGTTGACACTAAAATGTGTATCTCTATTGAATATATAATTTATGCAAATAACTTGCAGTTTAAATTGAGATGTGGGGCACTTATGAAAGTGCACACCCACATCTATACATAATTCAATAGAGCATTAAGCTGACGAATCATACTGAGATCTTAACCCTTTTAAAGGTCAGTTAAACGGATAGCAACTTTTTAGTGGTTTTCTTCCAGAGAACAGTCACAAGAGGGAAGATGGTGAGATGGCTCCACCTGCAGGTGGCGATACTGCCCTGTCGAAAAAAAGTGAAATATGACTATAATATGGCAGTGGTATCTATAAGGAAATTGCGGGAAAACTGCTATGGTTACTATTTCAATTTCAGAGTACCAGTTATCCTCTAATTAGCTTTTTCATAATACTGCCTCAATATACAATTAAAAAATGTACTCTGCTGTCAGTATTCCTTAACTGAGTGCAGGGTGATAGTGAATCCAGATGCTGTATCAGGAACAGCAAGGCAAAAGGTATGGAGAGACACCAGTCCAGTGCAAACTGTCTATAATCACACATGAAGAGCCCTTGGACAAGAAAAAAATCAAAAGCATTTTTATTTACAATAAAACATTTTTAAAAAACTATTTATTTGCATAAATTAGAATTTTTTTTATAATCAGCTGCTTCTAAATTTTTTTCATAATGTTTCAAAGGTTTTCAGATTCAGCTGACTAATTTTTGTATTTGTGAAAAGAAAAACACCCTGCTTCAACTGCTTTACGAAAATATTCTCATCGCCTGGGTCTATAAAATAATTTTGTAATTTATTTCACATGAAATGCTATGCACAGAAAACTGATGGGAGATTAATGAATGTTAGCATCACTTCATGCAGACAGGAAATAAGTCTTGACTACCAACTGAATTTCAACCAAATAATATTAACTTTGTTTACACTGTTAAGCATATGACTGTACATACCATTTCTGTCTATATAATGTGTAGCTATGACACAGTCACAGGGTTTTTATGTTATGGGAGGTACAGTGAGTAACACTGTTGCCTCATACCTCCAGTTTGGAGATCCTCTCACTATCCAAAAACTAAATTGTCCATTATGTATGTTGATGTTTGCCCTGGAATTGGCTACAAATTTTCTTTGACCCTGTATTAGAAAGGTGTAGGAAAGTGTTTGAAAGATGGAGCAATACTTCGTAGTTCCGTATGGATTCACTGCAACAGTAACCTGACTTACTTGTGTGCGTTCACTTAATTGTCATAGTTTAGAATCCCAGCCATATATACAGCGTCATGGTTGGTGTCCTTGTGATAGTTCACATGCTGTAAAACTGAAAGATATCCTGATAATCTGGGTCATTCCTACTAAACTTGAATCACTTTGGGATATTATTCACTGCTTATGAATTTTCCATTGATATTTTCTGCATTCTTTGCCCATCTATATTGGTGTATTAGTTTCATTTTGAACTAAATTTCTGACTTCATCTTGCCTTTATTGGTAGAACTGAAATCTTGAACCCCGTATCTCATATATGGAAAGGCTATCAGAATCACAGCCAGTAAACAGGCATATTAACAAACATGTTTATTCATTTTCCCTCGTTTCCACAAATGACTACAAAACATACAATACATTATTACAAAACATGGGTTCCCCCACCTTCTGCTCTAAAGACAGCCCACATCTCCTGAGTTATATTGTTTTAATACATATACTGCTGAAGCTTGAGGTCTGCAACAGCCACATTTTCTCTCAATTCATTTCTATTCTAGTCCAGTGTTTCCCAATCCAGTCCTCGGGGACCCACAGTCAGTCCATGTTTTTGCTCCCTTCGAGACCCCCACCAGGCAGTACCTTCCTACTGGGAGCTCGGAGGGAGCAAAAACATGGACTGATGGTGGGTCTCCAAGGACTAAATTGGGAAACACTAGACTATCCATTTTCTGATACTGCTTATCCCATTCAGGGTCATGGGGGGTCTGGAGCCTATCCCAGAGACTACGGGCACAAGGTGGGGAACAACCCTGGATGGAGCACCAACCCATTTCAGGACGGGCACGGGCACGCGCACACACACACACGCTCACGCTCACCTGGTGGGGGGAAGGGAGCCGGAGTACCTGGAGGAAACCCCATGACAACCCGGGGAGAACATGCAAACTCCACATGGAGCCCTGCCAGGGACTCAAAACCCAAGTCCCAGTGGTGTGAGGCAACAGTGCTAAGCACTGCACCACTGCACCACCCCCACACTAGACTAGTCCATTAGAAATGATTCAGCACTGATTTTCAGTAGTTTACAAGTTAATTTAATTAACATTGGTTTCAGATAAGAAAAGTACCTTTATTTTAGGAAAAAACACTTCTGTTTGTGGAATTCAAAATGAAGAAAAAGTCCCGTAACTCCAGCATCAGATTTTATTAGCATTGTTGGCTTCTTTAATAAGCTGATAAATCAACTCCTATAATGATGAAACAAAGATGGTGGAAAAGAATGAGCCACAGGTGGCTGCATAGCATATGGAGAAAAGCTCATGAGTTGCAAGACCCTAAAGACCAATGCTGGGCACTGCTGGGATTCCATCTCCCGTCAGACTGTGCTAAGTGATCAGCAGGCCTTGTCTCGGTGCAAAGCCTCCCCTTCGCTTAAATTATGCAAACCCTGTTTGAACTGGGGAAGAATCAACAAATTGCAAGTGATCTCATTTGCAACAAAGGAACCCAACAGTCAAATAGGTGGAGGAGAAACCAGTTGTAAAAACTGGCTGCAAAGACCCTTTTCCTGTCCCCACAAAAAAAAAACAAAAAAATGAATTAAAAACCCAGCTAAAATAACCTAAAATGTGAAAAGCTGCTCCGAGTCCCCCTCTTTCCCAGGATGTACAGCCATCTGAATGTCCATGTCAGAGGCTGAAGTCTTGGCGTTCACCCACACGCGGACACCCATACCATGACTTTGGCGCTACCAGCTCATTCCGACCAAGGAGTGACTGCACAGGGAGGGGTAGGGCTGAGGCCCATTTGCTTCTAGGGGTTCCTAGCGAGGGAACGGTCAGTCGGAGTCCGACAGCACGATCACCTCGTCTGGATCACACTGCGTCGCCACGTTGACCTGAAATTGAGACAGTTACAACTTTCACTCCTTTGACAGAATTAAGGGGTTATAATCAAAAGCACCTCAAGGAAGACAGAGAGGGTGAACACAGAGGATTTAGCACATTGATGCTTATGCCGCATAATACAGAGTACCTGAAATGAGGCTAGGCTTATGCCGCATAATACAGAGTACCTGAAATGAGGCTAGGCTTATGCCGCATAATACAGAGTACCTGAAA